CTCACAGTTGTAAAATGCTGCAAATGCTGTCTGTTTGTCGAGTGCAGGATGAAAGAAAAAAAACACTGTGCGAGAATTAAACCTTCATTTGAGGTTCAGTGATGCTTCCTCCTCTTTGTGAGACAAATGTGTAAGCACATGTGTTCCTAATTGAACTCCCTCATCTTTGTCATATTAATATAACAAGTCACATCTGGTAGATGGATGTCGGGGTATTATACTGCCGCCAGTATTTTCTCTCTCTGTCCAACATTGTCTTTCTGGCAGAACTTTGATATACAAACCCTTCAGTTGCGAGCTTTGTGTAGGGAGTCATACTGGGGGATCAATAGTAATTTAACAGTGAGTTATAGCTGGAAATGTGCATATACTGGACGGCGTGAGCACAGTGCCATTCTGGTGTGTTTACTCAATGAGTGCTGAGTCGACAAAAATGACACAGCATTTCTCTCTCTCCCCCTTCGCTGTCTTTCTCCCTCTCTGGGATTTCTCAGCTATTTTTCTCCTCTTGATCTCATTACATCATGACTTAAGGGCTGTATTCATTAAAGTTTTAAAGTACAATGCACTCCAAAGTCAGTTGTGGTGAATAACGCAGACCCTGTTAAGTCTGTCTGAGGAGGCAGTCCGCTCTCTCCATCTTCATGTCTTCGCTCCATCATGTCCGTCTGTAGATGTGATTCTAAAAACCCGGGAGTGAGAGTTTCTTTTACCAATGAGGCTTTGCCGCTGAGAAAGCCTGCCTACCCTCATGGATGAATGTTAGCCGCAGCGCTTTTAAGAGCCCAGATGTTGAGACCCGCAGTTGCCTCTTGACAACAATGCTTCTGTTCTTTAATTAAATTCAAAAGAGCTGCTTTTGTTCCCGCTGTTTAAGTTGGTCCGAAACTATATTTTAAAATGCAGTCGTAAATGGTATTTGGTTGCTGCTGTTTCTTCATCAGGCTCAGAAAAATAGTTTCGCTCTACGAATGACAGAACCTGACTCATCAACTGAGGTTGGTTTTAGAAGATAAACTTACATAACACGGCCTTGGGAGCAGAAAGATGGTGAATAAATCTTTTTAAACAGAGGCTGACAGAGCATCCGGCTGCATGCAGTCACAACTGCTGATCTAGCTGAGTGTTACAATTTTATATTTCTTCTCTGTTGCTTTCACTGCCTAAACCTAATTATTTCTTACATTTCTAAATTCTTTGAGGTCTATACAAAAACGCCTGCTCTCTGTGTGACTTTTAGCATTTTCCGTTCTTGACTGTCAGAATACAGTTGTCCAAGCAAGCATCAACGATTGATATTCAGCTAATTAAATTCACACACTATTTGCACTGCTGTTTTGCTTTTTGTCCCTTCCAACTTCTTCACCACCTCTCAAAACTATATCTAAAGCTCTGTCCAATTACGTAGCATCAACTGTCAGCGTTTGAAGAGCAGAAAGGCACACATGTATCCAGTTATTAATCGTTGGATGTCATCTTTGGGGAACACAAAATGCGTGCGGTGATGAATTATTGATATGATCCTGGAGATAACAGTTGTGCTCTAATTGCATGTCATCATTACCAGGTTGAAACCAGTCTCCATGTCCTCTTAATGTGATTACACATTCATAATTGCACTGTTATTAGCCTAGTTTATTATTCACAACAGAAAAGAAGACTAATTGGCATGGGCCCCCAGCATGGTGTCACTCAAACCCTTTATTAAAGTTTAGTTTGAACTTTGTCTCTCTATATAATCTTTTTAAATAGACATCTGCATGGACTTAACAGTAATGAACTATGAATACTTAAAATGCCCAACAAGCCCATTACTGTTTAAAGTAAATGTATGCCATGTGAAGACCTACAGGAGGTTCTGCACTTCCGAGCATAACAGTGCATTAGGTGTTGGTCTACTCGTTTCATGTGATTATTCTTGCTCTCCAGAGGGCGAACCCTAAAAGGTCACTTGATTTAATGAGAGAGTTAGGCTAAAGTCTTTTATGGTACACCAATTATCTTTCCAACAAATCGTTCAAACACATTGCTACAATATTGATTTTGACCTTGCTGGTTAACCAAACCCTACGGACCAGTTTACTTCAAGTTCCCTGCATTCAAGACCGAGTAATCTTTCAAGAATACAAGTCTTTTCTGAGTTTGGTCCATGCTACCTAAGTCCTCACAATTGATACGGTCATTTAATATCAGGAGGAGTTCTGTTTTACTCCAGGCTAACACAGTTTGAACCTCAGTCGACTGCGCGGGACCTTTTGGATACAGTTCATTTAATTACATCAGATGCCAACTGGTACTTTCAGGGTGTCTGGAGTTTTCAATTACCTGTGAAGTTTCAGTGCTAAGTCCTGCATAAATGAGCACAGTACCTCCTCTACTAACAGAGAAGCCCACTCATTGAATCTGCTGTGGTCCAGCAGAGCACATTATGGCCCACTGGAAACATGTTTGAAGCATCACGCAGCCTGGAACAGCTGGCCTTAATATGCTTAAAAAAACAACAGGTTAATGTGCTTTTACATGGTTTATTTTCATTTGGTTATAATTCAGTGACTTTTGTGCCTCTACTGTTACTGAGTTACATGAAACAGGTTCATATTTTGCATATTTGAATGTGTTTAACATTTATTAATATGTCCTATTCTGTTGTGCTGTTACCCACAGACAAAGCAAAGTTAAAATTCCTGTTGTTAGTTTTAACAAACAACTTAGAAAAACAAATTAAACTCTTAATCAAAAGGTGAGTTGGAGTTCCCCACTCTGAGTTTTAATGCAGTCAATGTTTGAGTCCAGGATCAAGACTGGGTCATAAATGCTTTAGTCAAACTCAAGCCCTTTCCCCCAAAAATCAGAACTTGAGTTTGGTTCTTGGACTTGAGTACTACAACACTGTGGCTAACGCGTTAAGATCCAAGTCCTGCAGTAGTAGTAAATAACATGCATTTGGGTTGAATAAGTCTATGAATCTTTTTTATCAATATACAGTATAAATTTTTCATGCAAGGGTTTGTTAATACCAAAATGATGATCTTTCCTGAATTTCCCAGTATGTGATTTTGTGCCAAATCTCTATCAAACCTAAACCAAAGTGTTAAAGAAAACAGACGTTTTTTTTTTTCACTATTTCTTCCGGCTTTGGGAGGCATCTGTTCTTCTAAACCTTAAATCAGGAAGACTTGTTGGATGTGCTTGGTATCTGTAACAGGCTTCCCTTAAAGTATTGAGTTAGTGGTCCTTTTTTCTGCTCTCTTTCTGTTGTGAAATAGGGCTGCAGATAAATTATTCCTTGGCGCCATTTTCACTACTTTAGTTTCTCTGGAGCGGGTACTCCACAGTCTCAAGGGAGCCTCTTTGCTATTATTTTCATATATTATAGTAATCCAACTCCCCTCGCTCTTCCCCCACTCTTTCATTCCTTTTGGTCTCCATCGGGCCTCACTCATTTTTTTTTCCTAAAGATGTCCTCATCTCCAGCCCTCTTACCTCACTCTGAGACTCCCCTCCAGCCTCCATCCTCTGTCTCCATCCTTCTCTCTCTTTTTCTGTCTCTGGCTCACTAACCACCCATCCTTCCACCTCCTTCGCCATATCTCCCCACCTTTCCCCTCTTCCTCCCCTCCTCCTCTCACACACTCCATCACAAGCTTCTTATCGGCCTCTCCCTCTGTATTTGCATCAACCTCACTTTTCCCTCCCCTTCCTCCAGCCTTGCCAGCATGGACTCTCGTTTCCCCCCTTTCTCTCTCACTCTGTCTCTCTCTCTCTCTTTCTCTTTCTCTATCTCTCTCTCTGCGTCCCTTGGAGGCATGTTTAATTAAGCATAGGGCTATGTGTCAGAGAGAGAGAGAGGGAGAGAAGAGGAAAGAACTAATGCTATCTGGAGCACCAGGCTAGACCAGGCAGGCTCTCCTCCTGCTCTCCACCTCTTCTCCTCCTTTTTTGTCTTCTCCTCCTCACCCCCTTTGGCCTGGACCAACTGTAATTACCCTGCTCATTAGCAGAGAGAAGAGGTTGGGGGGGCAACAGGGGAATAAAAGAGGACAAGAGGAGAGGAAACAAGGGGTGCAGGGGAAGACAGGAGAAGAGGAGGTACACCTAATGGACAAGCTAGATGGTTTCAGTCTCAGGATGCAAACTTCAGAGGCGATTAGAGTAATTAATGGCCTGTTTGGTTTGGGCAGCAGTATTGACCCTTATAAAGAGAGATATTACTTTTGAAAATGGAAGAGTTGGAAAGCTTATGTAATTGCTTTAAGAGGTGTTAGCCTTGATTGATTGTACCTCCAAGAGTTAATTCTATGAGTGGGGGTTGTGTTAAACAATAGAGAAGCCTTCTTTCAGAGTGCCAAATAGAGAGACATAGTCCAGAGTTCAGATACTTTTTTTCTGATGTAAAGAAGTTTATTTCTAATTTCAGACATGGGGGCCCAGTTTTATGTCAGTCAGTTAAGCAGGTGCCCCATATATAGAGTCCATTGTCCTACATGCATTGGTTACAACTTCAGCCTCAGGTCTAGACTCTCCGTCTCACATTTCCTCTCTGAAGCTGTCTTGCCTACTACCAAAACAAAATTTGCACAAATTGAACATAACAAATTTTATTAAGTTGATATTTCAGCAAGTCTGTATCTTTGACGTTCATTACGCTGCACATGCAGTAGTTCTGTAAAGTCGTACCGTTTGTGTTTGTCAGCTGCTGTTGACCATTGTTCAACTTCTTTAGACTCTAGGTGATTGTGTGAGAGCTCAGACGCTTAAAGTGTTCCCTAAATGCACACTTTATATGTGGAATAGGCCATGTGAAGCTCCTAATAAAGATAGTCATAATGCCTACATTGAAGATTGTAGTATACAATGTGCAGCTAACACTGGCCATAATGAACTAGCTTTCCTGGCTAAAGGAACACACTATAGAAGGTGTCTGAACTCCTAATTATGCCCCAAACTTTAATCTTAAGGATGATTGACAGCAGTCTAATGAACATGTTTCAGCCCTAGGCTCACCAACAATGTGGGTCTGACCTATTCGTAAGTAAAGACCACCAGGTGACCACGTCAAAAAGCACATGAAAAAACAAACAACAAAAGTAAAGAATAGATCATAATAAATGGCAAAAAGTAAACCCAAAATAGTTTATTTTTCCTTTTATTTCTGATTGGTCACCCGGTGGTCATTACTTATAGATGGGTCACACCCACATTGTTGGTGAAACACTGATGAAAGCCTAGGGCCGAAACACATTCATTTCATTAAGCTGCTGTCAATCTTCGCCATTCAAGTCTTGGAAATTAATACAAGTCCTGATGCCTTTTTTTATTAGCAGTGAGTTTCTTGTTGCTCCACTGACATAAATAGATGACTCAGAAGTATCCTGCTAACACTGGCAGCCTGACTGCCTGGCCAGGATCATGTATTAAGGTAGCTGGTAGACAGCACCCAATGCTAGTGGAGGGTTTGGCGTGTTAAAATAAGTGCTGATGGAAATAAAGTGAAAAAAAGTACAAAGATTACTTTCTGTTTCTATCAAATCAATTCAAAATTTTATGAATTATGAATTGCAATTCTGATTTGAGTTGGTTTTCTCCCCTATGTGAGTAAAGGATTCACGTCAAAGCTGATTGTCAGCACATTTTCTGTCACTGCATGTGGAATTAAAGTGAAACTAAAAAGATATTACAGTGACAGGAGTGTGGAGAAAGAATGATAGCTTCAATCTCATATTATGCTAAATTTCCACCTGCCTTGCCAAAGTCTACATGTGTTCCTGGCCGGTGTCAGGTGTGTTGATGCACAGACCTTACAAGCTTACTCTCCTGTTTGTCCAGGCAAGGTTCCAAGAGAGCAGGTTCATCTGGCCCACATGTTGGGAGCTCTTTGGCTGTTTGGCCTCCTGTGTGCAGATTGGCTCAGATTACAGGGTTACATTTTTCCTTCCTTTTTAGTAAAATTGGAAAGCGCAGGAGAATTCTATATTGGGGGTGAGCTGTTTGAACACATCACTCAGACAGACAGAGGGCCTCAGAAATTCCCCCTCGTCAGGTCTTCTGAGTTGGCACGCTCCTTTGATTTGTTTCATTTGTCATTGAGGGAGCCTGACAGAAAAAGGAATGTCAAATTTAAAATATTATACGTCAAAATGTGTTTGAAGTAAGCCAAGCATAACTCAGCTGGGTCTTGTAATGTGCCTCCCTTTTATCTTGGGGTTGAGGAACACTTTCTCTTTTCTCTCTGCCTCCTTTTCTCCCTTTAACTCCCATTTATTACCATGCATGTATCATTTCATGTCAGCCCCAGCTCCCTGCACCTTTCTCTCTGCTTTCTGCTCTCTCTTCCCTGAGTGCGTTTTGTCTGCTCCCCTGTCTCTTCTTTAGTCCTGTGTACCTTTCTTACTTTATTAAAATTTCCCGCTTCAAATGAGTCTCATAGTAATGGAAAGTAAAATTACATTCAGCTCTTGTCAGTTCTTAAATGTCCATAGAGGCATCACTGAGTTTAAATCGCTAATTTAGTTGTTTGCAGCGTTTTCTTTTGCTCCTAAAAAGCTGCACATTATTTGAGCTCTTTGATGTGATGGGTTTTTTGAGCAACAGGGGTTTGCTCTCAAAGAAATCTTATCCATATGTAGTTCTGGCAATTAAAAAGTGACTCCTCATTAATTCAGCTCACATTGTCCTATGTTTAAAACATGCAAGAAAAAAAGGAGGACTTTACTTTCTTCAAACATGACCAGGTGGGAATTTGCCTGAACATATATATATATATATATATATATATATATATATATATACATATATATATTATTATTATTATTTTTTTTTTTTTTTAAATTATAGCTCCTCTAAAGAAAGTACATCTAAAAACGTGAAAAATAAGGTGCTGAATGTAACACAGTGAACTTTAGACTTTCAAACAAAACATCTCCAAACTCCAAATCATTACAGTTAAATCCCTCAAATAGCTTATCAAAAACTCTTGTATGGTGTGCATGTCTTTTTTTTTTTGTTTGTTTGTTTTGTTTTGTTTTGTAGTCATTACGAAAAGGTCAAAGACCATTCGGTCAGAGTAAAAACCACCTGTTGCTGCATCACTGATTGTAAAGCACCAGGTGCTGTCAAAACTTAGTATCATCAGAGTAGAGAAAGAAGGTAGAGAGTTTCCAGGTCTAGTTGTATAAATGACCATAAACTATTCAATTAATTTGCAAAATATTAGAAGAAATGTTAAATTAAGTGGTCAAGCATTGTCAGCTGAACCTGTTTTCCAGGACCTACGACCTAGTGTTGTGTTGTTCATGAATGATTCGTTCAGAAAGAACTGAATCTTTTAAGTGAACATACTGAACCGAATCATTTCCTCAAGTGATTCGTTCGTTTCTCACTTCAGTAGAGCTGAAGTTAGAAACAGCATTGCCAGTCGAGCAGCCGGCAAATGAGGGACGGCATGCACCAACACCTGAATCACTTGGTGAACGAATCTCGCATTGAACTACACTCTCTGGAATCATTTTTGTCGGACAAAACTACCTTTTTTTTTTCACTGCTAAATTGCCACCACAACAACTTGCATACAATAGGACACAGCATGTAACAAGTAGTGCAGCATCCTATCATTGCAGCAGTTTGCGAGGGAATGCTGCATGTTCAGTTTGAATTCTTCTAAACGTTCAGTGAACGAATCACTCACTGAGCCCAATTTACCGAGCAGACCTGACAAATAGCATACCATAGGACAGTACACTTAAAACATCATGACTTATAAACAAGTTCATTTTTACAAACCTGTTTTGCCAAAGCAACACGGCCAAATGCTTGTGTCTCCCAGTCCCACAAGCAATGAATTGAACTGAATCCTGAAACGTTCAGCTGTGTATCAGTTCAGGAGGTCGGAGTGGACTAATCTTTTGAACAAATCTTTTAAGTGAACTGATTCTCTTGATTCAGTACATCTAAAAGAACTGCCGTGCCCATCACTACTACTACTGTTCACTACCATCACTACTGTTTTTTAAATGTAAAGTGCGTTACAAATAAAATCTATTATTATTTATTATTACTACCAAAATCTTGAAAGTAGGTAATTCAGTAGACTTGTCTTTTATTGACTGACACAGTGAAACATGGGGTCTGACTGTGAATTCTTGTTAGTCCCTGGGCAAATGGTTAAGCTACCATGCGTCCCACGTTTCACCGAGTGCATTACACTTCACAGGGATTTTTCTAATGACAAGGTGCACACACAGTTTTCAACAGGCGTAGGAACAGGTCGAGGGGCTAAAGAAAGATGTAGCGACTTGCTGCATTCATTGCAGCAGCAATTTCTCTCCAACCTTGTCTGTTGGATTTTGGCACACTTTAAGGTGCATGGTGTGTAAACATCTGATTGTAAATATTGAACGCAATATTTATGATTTCAAACCAGTGCAGTCACAATGTTCTTCTGAGGAACAGATCAGCGAGGGTAATATCCTTCTAACTGTACCTCACACTGTAGGAAAATACAGCAAGTTAATCTTTCAAAATCTTGATTCTGCTGGCCTTAGTGGGGAGGGGGATAATCAGGCCCAAAATTGGCCTCCACTTCCTCAATCAACAGAAACTCTCAGAGGAAAGAGCCATAACCCAGAAGTACTGATCAGGAGGATGTCTTTCACTAGTTGCCGCTCAAGATGCAGAAACCATGAGCCCCCTGGGTATATCCCTCTGTATGTTCCTACATTTCCTAGACCACATCCCTGCAGTCTCCTTGTTTTTCTCACTCTTTCCTAATACATATGCAGAGATGAAGTGAGGTGCACTGATTACATACAAGGTGGGGTGGGCTTTAGATGAACTGCTCTTCCAGACCAGTGAGCTTGTTTGATCGATAACATGCATGTCTCCAGACACCGAATACATTTGAAACTAAGTACAAAAGCCTCATGAAATCTGGCCTTGTGTGTGTTTATCAGTCAACAGGAGGACGATGATCATTTCTGATACATCTGCCTACTTCAATAAAAAAACTTTAACTTCAGCTTGTCTAAATAATTGTTGTTCATCAGTGGAAAACTACTGTGTGGGCAAACTGGATAACAGTGCATTAATGTGCTAAATGTGTGAGAAAGACGGAAGAAAAAGAGGTTTATGGGTAATGTTTTCTCATCCCCTGTGCTCATCAAGAGTTTGGTATAACGAGTAGCTTACTTGATATGTGTATAGGAAAGTTATGATTGCAATCATAATGAGATATCATGATCAGTGGTGAGTCCTTCAACATTACTCAGTCAAAAGTATTTTATGGTACACCATGGTGCAAATAATCATTACGTTCTTACAGTTTTTCCTTTTGGTATATAGATAATAAACCCTTTGAGGTGCTACACTGCAGCCTAATAACTCATTTATTTGTCGTCACCCCCTCCTAATGATTTATTCTAATCATAATTAATTTTCATTCTGCCCATTGACGTAAATGTGCTCTGAACTACTGTAGCTCAGATGAGATATTGCAGAAAAGTTGTCTTTCTCCAGGAGGGATTATTCCTGGCTCCTTGATTTTATCGAGCGATGGGAAGAACATAAATCTCTGGCACACTTACTTAAAGCAGACAAAATGTAATCTGCAGTTTTTGAGGTGTAAGAAAAAAGGTAATATAGTTTAAGTTTGATAAGTGGCAGAGTTGTAAGATTGTCACATACAGTATGCAATGTAAATGTGTCTCCCACTGTATCGCAATAGTATTATACACCACACTTAATAGGATTACAGCAGTTCTTGTATCACAGAGCCCCCCACTATTAACCTCTCCTCTCCAGGTTTCTTTTAATAAGGGCAAAGTGGGCGTCCCACGGCAAAGACGAGCCTGTGTTGCAGTGTTTTGAGCCATTGTGATTTTAATTAGAGGAATTTGGCCGTGGTCAACATCATCAGATCCTCTCATTTGTAATCTGAGTGAATTGGCTCAGGTTGACGAGTTGACGTCCAAGCCTCAATCAGACTCTTCAACCCCTCTGAGTGGACAGATTTCATTCAAAGCGCCGTCTTGGGCATTTAAGATGCAGCAAAAATCTTGTTTTAAGAGAAAGAAGTAAAGAGTTTTTCTTTTTATATTCTTTACTGTATGACCACATTTTGTGAGCTACAAATTTGAGTTTATCCAACATATTACGACCCCAATCAGGGTATCCTGAGGTTAATTTCAATACCTTTTTAAGACTTTTTTAAAAACC